AAGGCCTGGATTGCTTGTATACTTCTCTGTAATGACTGCCTTTTCTGCATCCCAGAGGTTTTGGACTGTTGTGTTTTCATTTTCATTGGCTTCCATGTACTTTTCAATTTCCCCTTTAATTTCTTGGTTAACCCATGCATTCTTTAGTAGGGTGTTCTTTAATCTCCAAGTATTCATGGTCTTTACAAAAATTTTTTTTGTGGTTGATTTCAAGTTTCATAGCATTGGGGTCTGAAAATATGCATGGTATGATATCGATCTTTTTGTACCTGTTGAAGGTTGATTTTGTGAATCAGTATGTGATCCATTCTGGAGAATGTTCCATGTGCACTCAATAAGAATGTGTATTCTGCTGCTTTAGGACGAAATATTCTGAATATATCTGTTAAGTCCATCTGGTCTAATATGTCATTCAAAGCCATTGTTTTCTTGTTGATTTTGTGGTTAGATGATCTGTCCATTGCTGTAAGTGGGTGTTAAAGTCCCCTACTATTATGGTATTATGGTGGTATTATCAATTATTTATGTGTGTGGTTAATTGCTTTATATATTTGGGTGCTCTCAAGTTGGAGATAAAAATATTTACAAGTGTTAGATCTTCTTGGTGGAGAGACCCCTTAATTACATTTCCCTTCTTCATCTCTTGTTACAGTCTTTTTTAAAAATCTAGTTTGTCTGATATAAGTCTGGCTACTCCAGCTTTCTTTTGACATCCATTAGCATGATAGATCGATCTCCATCCCCTTCCTTTCAATTTCCAGGTATTTTTAGGTCTAAAATGAGTCTCTTATATGCAGCATATAGATGGCTCTTACTTATTTATTCATTTTATCCATTCTGATACCTTATGTCTTTTGATTGGAGCATTTAGTTCATTTACATTTAGAGTGATTATTGAAAGATATGAATTTAGTGCTATTGTGTTGCATGTAGAGTTGGTGTTTTTGGTGATGCTTTCTGGTTCTTTCTAGTCTTTGTTGCATTTGGCCTTTTTTGTTTTGTTTTCTCCAAAGAGTCCTCCTTAAAATTTCTTGCAGGGATGGTTTAGTGGCATGAATTCCTTTAGTTTTTGTTTGTCTGGGAAGCTCTTTATCTCTCCTTCTATTTTGAATGACAGGCTTGCTGGATAGAGGATTCTTGGCTGCATATTTTTACTGTTCATCACATTGAAGATATCCTGCCATTCCTTTCTAGCCTGTCAAGTTTCTGTGGATGGGTCTGCTGCAAACCCGATCTGTCTTCCTTCATAGGTTAAGGACTTTTTTTCCACTGTTGCTTTCAGGATTCTTTCCTTGTTTGTGTATTTTTGTGAATTTGAGAAGATATGGTTGGAGATGGTTAGTTTTTGTCGAATCTAATGGGAGTTCTCTGTGCTTCTTGGATTTTGATGTCTGTGTGTTTCCCAGATTAGAAAGTTTTGTACTATAGTTTCTTCACATAAATTTTCCCTTTTTCTCCATTTTCTTCTTCTGGGACTCCTATGATTCGAATCTTATTCCTTTATAATAAGTCACTGAGTTCTCTAAGTCTTGTATCATAATCTTTGGCCTTTGTTTATATCTTTTTTTCTGCTTCATTATTTCCCAGAATTTTATCTTCTATCTCAGTGATTCACTGCTCTGTTTTTTCCATCCTTGCCCTCACGACATCCATGCAAGATTGCATCTCAGTTACAGTATTTTTAATTTTGGCCTGATTAGATTTTTGTTCTTTCATCTCCGCTGAAAGGGATTCTCCAATGTCTTCTATGCTTTTTTCAACCCCAGCTAGGATTCCTATAATCATGGTTTTAAATTCTAGTTGAGACATCTTATTCATATCTGTGTTGGTTAAATCTCTGGCTGTCATTTTGGGGGCGAATCTTCCATCTTGTCATTTTGGAAGAAGAAAAAGATGAATAAATTAAAAAAAATTTAAATAACAAAAAGCAACACAGAAAATAATCCAATAAAGGAAGTTAGAGCCTAGGTGTGTTTCAGTCTATTTGTTGAGGGAAGCTTGATTAGACAAAAAAGAAAAAAGAAAAAAAGAGTTAAAAAATATTTAAAAATTAAAAATTTAAATAAAATAGAATAAAGAAAACAATAAAAAATAAATGAAAAAATAGAAAAGAATTTGCTCTTTCTGTATCTAAGAAAGAGAAAGAAAAGAAAGAAAATAATCTGAGCAGAATCAGAAGCAAAGTAAATAGACCAGCAAACAGAACGAAACCCAAATGAAGTTACATTATGTTTTCTCTAGAACTGAAACTGTGAAGCCCTCTATAGTGCCTACACTGAGCAGACTTGGGCTGGTCTTCTGGGGGACGTGCCTGGAGGGCGTGGGTGGGCAGGGCTTGGTGTAAAGGCTCCTTCCTCTACGAGGCGGTGCTGCTTAGCTCACTGCAGGGACCAGTGTGGTGCACACGTGCTTGTGCAGGGGTCGTGGAAATGGCGTCACCCAGGAACCTAGTCTCTGGCACAGAAACCCTGTGCTCTCACCCACCCAGGATCAAGCACCCCTCCTTTGTCTCAGGCCTCCATCCACTCCCCGCCTCTACCCTGTGTTCAAGCAGACTGTCTGCCAGGTGCCACCTCCCTCCAGAGTTTTATCTCAGATGGGGCTGTGTTTTGACACCCCTCACTCAGAGACCCCTGTGGCTTGGACTCCCACCAACTCTCTGGGGGAGGGTCTTGCTGAGCAATGGCGGGTACCAGCTTTCACCCCAGGAAATGTTGATGCGATCGCTCAGCAGCAGAGGTTCGGAGATTATGGCCAATCACAACACACAGCTGGTGCCGGGTTTCACCGCACTCTGGCATCTGTCCCGGTACCAGCAAACGTGGCTGCTCTCCGGGGTCTCCTGGGGTCTTTGTGGAGAGGCCCTATGGCCTCTACCAAATGCCCCCCAATCAGGGGAACCGCTTCTCCCTGTGTGGCACATGGACCCCTCAAACCCCGCTGCCTGCCCCTGGGGACTCCCGCTGCTTTTTTGCAGGAGCACTGCCAGGCACTGAGCTCTGGAACTTCAGACTCTGCGCTCCACTGTTTATAGAGTCCTGGGGGGTATTGAAAGGCTCTCCTTGCTTCCTGTCAGTGGTTTTGGGTAACAGATTTCTTGTTTAGTCCCCTGAGAGTGTTTTCATGCTTTCCCTCCGGCTACCTTTTGGGGAAGCACTTTCCTTGCGTGGTACCTCGTGCTCGACTCTCCCCTTTCCTTCTCTGAGAAAAGGGCTCTCTACCCTCAGTGGCTTCTCTCCCCCAGTTTGTCTCTCTGCACTGCATAACTGCTAAGTTGTGTGGCTCAAGTTATGCAGATTGTTGTGTTGATTCTCAGATCAGTTTCCTAGGTGTTCACAATGGCTTGGTGCTGATCTAGCCGTGAGTCAGGGACAAGACAAGCTCAGGGTCCCCATACCACTCAACCACCTTCTCAGTAAGCCATTATCAGTGTTGGAAATGTATTCTTAATTCCATTTTTGGACTGTTTATTGTAGCAGACAGAAATACAATTCAGTGGGTTATGTAAATTTCATATACTGTAAACTGGCTAAATTTGCTCTGTACTATTTCCTTATAATTTTCTATGTGTAGTATCCCATGATCTGAAAATAGTTTTACTTCAGTTCCAATCGGCATGCCTTAATTCTTTTTTCTTGCTGCCTTCTCTTGGTATTCTCAGCAATACAATCGTACATAGAAATGGTGAGAGCCACCTACCTTTCAAAATTTAAAAAAAAAAAAAGAATTCTGAGATACTCTTGGGGCATGTCAGTGGCTCACTCAGTTAGGTGTCCGACTTTGGCTCAGGTCATGATCTCATAGCTCGTGGGCTTGAGCCCTGCATCAGGCTTTGTGTTGACAGCTCACAGCCTGCAGCCTGCTACGGATTCTGTGTCTCCTCTCTCTGCCCCTCCCTTGCTTGTGCTCTCTCTCTCTCAAAAAATAAATATTAAAAAAAAATTAAAAGAATTCTGAGATACTCTTAACTTTGTGTGTTTCAGGTAAGGGATTGCCAACTTGTAGCAACTAACTTTTAAGGTGGTTATGATTAAGTGAGGTACCACATATAAGATGCTTAGTGTAAGCTGTGACACAAATCAGTATCCCCATAAAGCATTGCTTTGTAGGAAGAGAATCTCGGCTGGCCGCTGGCAGGCCTGCACCAGGAATCAGAATGTGGTGCTGGGGACGGGTGGTCGCTGGCCGACAGCATAGGGGATGGTCCACAGCACACATCGGCAGTTTGTGTCAGCTTCCTCAGGAATGTTTGGTGCTGTGAGAGCTCTGCCAGAGTACCTGAGCTTGAAGGTAGCCCAGCCCAGTGCTCCCATGGGTATTGTGAAACAGGGTCTACAACGTGGAGGGAGGGGTTGTACTGAGGAACTGTAGATGGGGCATCGGTAACAGGAGGGGATGATTTGGAGCATATATATAAAAATTAAGAGAAAACGCTTCACTATTGCCCTGTGCACTTCTATCTCCTTCCTTGAAGGTTTATTCTAGAAGTGGCTCCACTCTATTTGGTGAGGGGCTGGAAATTGTTAAGGAAGGAGTAACAGCTGAGATGAGGGACAGATAACATAGGGAGGGAATGGGACCAGGAGGGAGTATTAGTGGCGCCTTCAGCCTGGCTGGGATGTACCACTTCTCTCCTGTAGGAGGGGACCAGTTCGCTGGTACACGATTCAGCCCCACTGCCGTTTTCCTCTGAGGAAGGGCAAGCATCGCAGCAGCCAGCGGGGGGCCACGATCTCTTGTGGGCAATGCTGTCCTCACCGTACACTAAGGTGGAGAAGTAGGGCTCCTCTGGCGACATTAATTATTGCAAAGCTCCTACGCCTGTCTTCATTAATTACTTTGACAAGAATCTAATAAACTCATCATCATCCTTTATAGCTAGTGTACGCTATGTCAGTAAAGATCTTAGAGGCCTACCAAGAAACTTAGGGGGTGTTTGATCCCAGTAATCAAACAAGTTAAATTAATTCCCACTCTATTTAACACTATGGATGCTTTAATGACCAAGGTTCTGTGAGCTTTTAATCATGATCGTAATTTAAAATACTAAGATTGGCATTATACAGAAAGGCCCCTGTAGGCTGGCCAGTGCTTCTTTAAAACACATCCAGTCATCAGAAAGGCACATCAAAGAGCTTCTTTATATAAAAACCACAAGGCACACAAGGCAAACAGGTGACCGGGTCAAAAGGCACCGTTTCCGAGTCCTTTCCTCCTCTTCAGGTTTTGCACATTTGAATGTCCGAAGACAACTCTGCGAGCTGCTGGCAGTGGCCGTGGGATGACTGAGGGCTCCGTCACTGAAGCAACAAGTAGTTTTCAGAGGCACAGATCTGGTGCTGAGTGATGGAATCTAGGGGAAGGGAAAAGCAGTTTAGCATTTATAATGGCCAACCACATGGTATGATAATAACCCTGTATAGATGCAAAGTCGTATTTTAAAATCTTAGGTGGTTTAAAGTGGCGTTGTCTATGTGTCCGCATGTCCATATAGCACATGTGACTATTTAAAACGAAATAAAGGGGCGCCTGGGTGGCTCAGTCGGTTAAGCCTCCAACTCTAGGTTTCAGCTCAGGTCACGATCTCACGGTTCATGAGTTTGAGCCCAACATTGAGCTCTGCACTGGTCCAGATCTTGCTTGGGATTCTCTCTCTTTTTGCCCCTCCCACACACTCTCTCTCAAAATAAATAAACTTTAAAATAAAATGAAAAAAAAAATTTAGTGCATCAGTCACACCACATTTTAAGTGCTCAATAGGTGCATTTCCTATAGACACAGCATATATAGGGTGTTCCCATCATGACAGAACATTCTATGAGACAAGTGGCAAGTATGCCAGTCCATGGCGGGAGAGACCAGGATTCCAATCTCCGTTAGCTACAGAAAATACTCTCTGGTACAAGGCAATGTGTATATAAATATATAAGTTTTAGTTATGGGACAAGGACACATTCTTGGCTGTGTATCTACCAATTTACATCCTACTTTGCTGAGTACACAGAGTACAAAGTTAGTAAGCACCGTTTCTAAAACTCAAGTCTTCAGATTTAACTTGAAGAAGCTGGACTAGTCCTGTCAGTTCGAAAGTCTATTATTTTACGAAAATCACCAAGATTTAAATCCTGGTCCAGGATTTAAGCTACAGCTGTGAGAGAACAGGCCAACAGGGGACTAGACTGTTCTTGGCCCTACTTCTTGGAGAATGATAGAGGAATGCAGTGGGTTGGCAGCAGTGGTTGAATTACAAATTAAGTTACAGTTAATTTACCTTTTAAAATTTTACTTTTTGAGAGAGTGGGGGAGGGACAGAGAAAGAGCACATGTGTAAGAGGGAATCCCAAGCCGGCTCCATACTCAGTGAGGAGCCCGACGTGGGGCTCAATCCCACAACCCTGGGATCATGACCTCAGTCGAAGTCAGATGCTTAACTGACTGAGCCACCCAGGTGCCCCTTCAGTTAACTTACTGATTACAACTATTATCCACAGGGATAGATAAACGATATTGAAGGATCTTGAGACATCATGATGATGAACGATAGCAGATGGAAAGTCAAAACATGTTTGTTCTATGAATACGGGGGAAAATGGAAGGCAAAGTGCACATCTTAGCTGTAGCTACAGAACCTGTCCCAGAAGTTAGTTGTCACCTGCCCAGTACAAACGCACTTCCACACAAGAGGTCTGAACTGGTGAGGTGGTCTGATATATACTTGTGATATATACATCATATATGATTAAAATTAATATATCCAACAGAATTACAACAATTACTATTAGTACTAAGCAAAACCACTTCTCTCCATGACACAGTGAAGAAGTATTTTAATATTAGACCTTTATTCGTGGCACGTGTCATACATATTTTCTCTGTCATTCACCTTTTGAGTTCCCTTACGCAAAAAAAGTTTTTATTTTGTGTATTCATTCAGATCATGTAAATCTTTCACTGCAGTTCGGCTTTGAACCATAGGTAGAAAGCCTTTCTTTACACCCAGTTTTAAAGCATGTCAGTTATATTTTCTTCCAGGTTATAAAATCCTATAGATTCAGTTTTTACACTTAGATTTCTGACAGGATGTCATTTTCCAAAGCCAGAAAAGATTACAGAATGGGTGGCAATTTTTAAAATTAATCTAAAATAGAATATAATGCAAAAATGCCAAATATTTCTTTTAAAAGTGGCATATTTATTCTGACATTTATATGAACGAAAACATACATAGGAAGACAATTTTGAAAAAAAGGAATGAGAGACAATCCGACATGCTAGATACCAAAACACATTATAAAATTTATAAAATTACAGTAGGAAAATAGTATGTAATCAGCACACAGCAGATAAAAAGACCAATGGGAGAGTCTGGAAACATGTCCACACATATATAGGAATTTAACAGACGAGTCACAGGGCATTCCAGTTCAGCGCAGAATGGATGAGGTATTACACAGATGGTATGATCCCTTCACATCACACAATAAATAAATTACAGATGAATTAAAGCTGTAAATATTTTTTAAAAATGATGAAAGTATTAATGGAGATAAGAGACAACTTCTAAAGTTCAGTAGGTAGAGATGACCTTCCAAAGTGAAATCCAAATTCAGGTACCTCGGGAAATAAGGCAGTTGAATCCATGAAGAATACTAATTAAATATGAAAGTCTCTGTAACACAGAATACACAATAAGCAAAATTAAAAATGAGACAGATAGATTGAGAGAATTTTACACTTGGACCACAGAGTGAGGGAGGGCCCATATTCTAGACATATTCTATAGAACAGCATGAAAAGGAAAAATAGCCCAATTTAAAAATAGGCCAGTGATAAGGATAGGCAACCCATGAACTATAGCTCCCTCTCTAATTATTCATACTCATTAGTAATTTAGTAATTAGGGAATGACAAGTAATGACACCTATTTGTTTAGTGCATCAGATCACCCCAAACGTCTAATAATGTGTGTATGGATTAATTATACCTCCTCCAATGGTCAGAAAGAATGAAGTAGCTGTGTATGTGCTAACATGGAAGGCTCTCCTAGACAGAGTCAAATAAAAACTCAAGGAACAATATGTGACCCTCCATTTATAGAAGAATTCTCAAGAAATACATAGGTTTATATATATTTCCTTCTACTTAAATATGTTCTAAAAAATCTAAAAACACTCTTCCAGCTTTACTGTAGCGTAAGGAAGAGTTGTAAGATTTGGGGACTCTCTATGTCTCTATTCCAATTCTTTGACCATGAAGCCTAGAGTCACTCCACACACCCATGCATGCATGCATCCATTCATTCATTCACTGATTCATTCACTGTGGTGGAGAAAAAGGTTGTCAAGAGAAGTAGCAAGTTTTACATTTGGATCAAATAGAACCTTAAATGTAGCCTCACAACAAAGTCTGTGGCTGGCCCCTCACGCTTGGTATGGCGGCCTCTATGATGGTACTACCTGAGGAATTAACCCGTGGACTTTCCAGGAATGGTACCGAGGTACGTGTAGTGCGGTTAGCAAAGCAGAGATTCAGAACAGATGAGCACTTGACTATGGAGTCATGGCTGGCAGCCAGCACATCCATGCCCAGGAAGCCCCTCATGTCTCCAAGTTCCCAAATATAAACACACACATGAAAAAGGACTTCTACCCAAGTTAATCTGTCATCTAAAGATGGTCACATCCCCAAATTCTAATGTCCCATCATACGAATAGCCCTCAAACACCCCATCCAATGTGACCAATAGTACAGATGTTCACGCAATGCCAGTCCTGGCCAGTGGAGAGAGACAGATGGTACATGAGCACCCCCAACTGCCCCCCACCCTGTTAAATTTGCACTGGAAAGAAAATATGTTGTGTTTTAACAAGGTTATTTAGCAGGTCTTGACATACATTATGCACGAGTTAAAGTTTACTGGCCTTCTGTGTGGTCTGATTAAGATAGTGAAGGAACATGCTGCTAGCTGGTTTTTATAATGTAGTGGGCAAGCCACTTTCTTGAACTAAAACTCCAATCGCTAATAGCCAAATGTGGCTAATGGTACTGAGTGCACAGAATCCTCAGGACACTGTTGGGAGCTTTATCTTAGCTTATCACAATCAGCTGACTATTATTCTAGAGCTGAAGCATGAGTGGCCATGTGGCCAGCACTCATTCAATCAAGGAATCAGCTCTCCTACTATAGGAATGTGGGTCACCCTGCCTCTGGGAACACTCAGGACAGAGTCTTGACAAGGAAGACACCCTTAGTAGTAGGGCCCGACCGGTTACAAATGAACCTAAAATCCTTTCTCCTAGTGAGCCCGCAGCTGCCCACGGCCTCACTTCTCTCTGGAACCACAATGAATGAGACTTTGTACCCTCATCTGATGGTAGTCTTACAGGCTCCTCTTGTGTGTACTGAATAAACCACTATTCCTTCAGTACTTCTCTGAGGATCCTGATCTCTAGAAACCTCAGCATTCTCTCAGAAGCTCAAATTCAAGTCTCAAATTTATCTTTGACTCCTCTTTCCTAATAAAAAACATGCAATCTATCAGCAAGGCCAACTGGCTCTAGAATTTTTATTTAAACTCTGGAAGCTTCTTACCATCTTCAGTGATATCATCCTAAATGTAACCGCAATCATTTATCACCCAAACTACTGTAAGAGCCTGAAACTCCTCTCTCTGCTTCTATTTAAAGATATCTATTCCCCTACTTCAAATCCTCTGGCGACTTCCATTATTCTTAGAACAAAAAAACTAAACTTCTCACCATGGTCTATGAGGGTCTTGAGTGGTCCAGCCTCTGGCTACTTCTCCAGCATCATTTCCCATCGGACATCTAGACTTAATGCCTCTCCTTCTTGTCTACCTTGATCTTAGCATTTGCCTTGGCCTGAAAGGCCAGTCCTTTAGATCTACATGAGCCCACCCTTCTGTTCATCTTTGGGGTCTCAGCTCAAATATAGCCCTTCTGCCAGAAGCCAACCGTGCTCTCACTATAAATACTTATAACTTTTTTTCTTCGTAGCACTGATCACCAAAAGGATTTAAAAAAAATTATTGTCTTCATTAGAATACGAGTCCTGGGGTGCCTGGGTTGGCTCAGTTGGTTAAGCAGCCAACTTTTGTTTTTGGCTCAGGTCATGATCTCATGGTTGTGAGATCTAGCCCTGCATTGGGCTCTGTGCTGACAGTAGAGCCTGCTTGGGATTCTCTCTCTCCCTCTCTCTCTACCCCTCTCCTGCTCATGGTCTCTTTCTCTCTCTCAAAATAAATAAGTAATAAAATTATAGAATATAAGTCCCATGGGGCAAGTACTGTATCTGCCTCATCAACTCCTATTCTAGTAGTGCCTAGAATATGA